GGAGAAGGGATGGGAGAACACGGAGAAGGGGTGGGAGACCATGGAGAAGGGGTTGGAGAGCATGGAAAAGGAGTTGGAGAACATGGAAAAGGAGTTGGAGAACATGGAGAAGGGGTGGGAGAACATGGCCTCAGCACCGGCCTCACCTTCACCAGCTCAAAAGGGAATCTCTCGTGGAAGATCCGGTTGATCCTGGCACCCCCGGAGAGCTCCACAGTGTCCACCTGGTCTCCCGACCCCTCGATCCGCTTCTCGAAATCCACACCGAACTGCTGGACCATCCTGGGGGGAAATAAATGGGATGAAAGGGGCTCCCAGATCCCACCCCGCAGCTGGGGAAAAAAAAACTCCCCCGGTTCCTCCGGCTGGGGAGGGAGAACCAAAAATCCCAAAATCCCGGTTTTCCTGCCCTCTGGGAGGAGGGTCTGCCAGGGATGGAGGCGGTCAATGCTTGGACAGCAAACCTTTCCCTTCGGAGCAGGCAGGGAATGCTGATCCCGGCCCCTGGGATGCTCCGGGGGCATTCCTGGGAGCAGCTTTTCCCCATCCCTCCCCTCTGGAGCTGCAGGGCCCGACCACGTGGCTATTCCAGCTCTTCCCAAGATGGGGAAGAGCAGAGCGATCAGATTCCCGCTCCGGGAATGCTCCCAGGGCCGGGAAAGGCGGGAAGGCAGCGCCTGAGGGGGAGAGGCCGAGAGGAACCTACTGCAGCAAAGCTTTGGTTTTCCGCGTGGGGTCGTCGGGCCGGAAGTTCTTGTACTCCTCCACCTCCTTTTCCAGGGAAAGCAGCTGGCTCTGGAGTTTGCTGCGCAGCGAGGGCAGCGTCTCCCGGATGTGGTTGGTGAGTTGCTGTGGGAAGGGGGGGATAGGGAGGAGGAGGAGGGCGCTGAGCCGAGGAAGGCTCGCGGGGCGGCTCCCGCTTTTCCGGGCAGCTCCCGCTTTTCCGGGCAGCTCCCACTTTTCCGGGCGGGAGGAAGGTCGGGAAGGGCCCGTCCCACCTGGTTGAGGACCCTCTGGAGGTGGGGGGTGCCCATGCGCTCGGCCATGTGCCGGTAGGCCGGGTGGGACAGGAAGAACTTGCGCTCGGCCGCCAGCGCGGCGCGGATGTCCTTCTTGCCGTCAATGTCCTTCTGGCTGCGGTTCACCACCCCGATGTACCCTGGGCCAGCAGGGAGAGGGCATGGAGAGCGGGGAGGAGGGGTGGGAGAGCACGGAGAAGGGGTGGGAGAGCACGGAGAAGGGGTGGGAGAGCAAGGAGGAGGGGTGGGAGAGCATGGAAAAGGGGTGGGAGAGCACGGAGAAGGGGTGGGAGAGCACGGAGAAAGGGTTGAAGAACACGGAAAGGGGTGGGAGAGCATGGAGAAGGGAAGGACCTGAGTGTGACACCCAGAGTGACCCGAGGGGGACACAGGGAGTGACCCAAGGGAATGACCTGAGTGTGACACCCAGAGTGACCCAAAGAGGACACAGAGGACACCCAGAGTGACCCGAGGGGGACACTGTGGGCACACCCAGAGTGACCCAAGGGTGACACCCAGAGTGACCCCAGGGGGACACAGGGGACACCCAAAGTGACCCGAGGGGGACACAGGGCACCCCCAGAGTGACCCCAGGGGGACACAGGGCACCCCCAGAGTGACCCCAGGGGGACCCAGGGCACCCCCAGAGTGACCCCAGGCTGTACCTCTCCGTAAGGGCAGCAGTTTGTTCTCCAGCACGTCCCGGGCGTCGGTGCCCTCGTCCATCAGGTCCAGCTTGGTGATGACCCCGATCGTCCGCAGCCCTGCGGAGGCAGAGCCAGCAATCAATCAATCAATCAGTGCTAATTAATCACATCCAAACGAGCCTGGGGGGGGATGGGAACCCAAAAGGGCCCCCGGGGCTGAGCAGAACCCGAGGATGGGGGGAGGAGGAGGAAGAGGAGGAGGAGGAGGAGGAAGAGAAGGAAGAGAAGGAGGAAAGAGAAGCCCTTTGGCATCAAAATCCATCAGTGGAAAAAGTGGCAGAGAGGAGAACAAGGAGGAAGAGGAGGAGGAGGAGGAGGGAAGAGAAGTCCTTTGGCATTAAAATCCACCAGTGGAAAAAGTGGCAGAGAGGAGAACAAGGAGGAAGAGGAGGAGGAGGAGGAGGAGGAGGGAAGAGAAGCCCCTCTGGCACCAAAACCCCACGCCAGCCCCGACACTTCCCAGCTCCTGGGGAGCCCCCCCAGCCCTCTGACCTTGAGGGTCGACCTCCTTGGCCATCTTGAGGGCGTCGGAGTTGGCCAGGTCCATGTTGGCCGGGGTGACGGCCAGGATGAGGCTGCTCTCCCTGCTGATGAACTGCAGGATCATGTCCCTGATCTGGAACTCGATGTCCTGGGGCTGGTCCCCCACTGGCACCTTGGTGATGCCCGGCAGGTCGATCAGGGTCAGGTTCAGCACTGGGGGGGGGGGCACGGAGGGGGTGCAATCAGGGGGTTAGAGGGGTTTTGGGAAACACCTCTGGGATCGTCCCGCTCTGACCCGACCCCACCTCGGCACCCAGAGCACGGCAACACATCCAGGCTCTTCCCAAAGGGTGACTCCCCCTCCTCCCTGGGCAGCCCATTCCAAGGCCTGACCACCCTCCCCGGGAAGGATTTCTCCTGGATGTCCAACCCACAGCTCAAGGCTGTGCCCTCTCATCCAGGGAGCAGAGCCCGACCCTCCCAGCTCCCCCTTCCTGTCAGGGGGTTGTAGAGAGCCAGAAGGTCCCCCCTGAGCCTCCTCCTCTCCAGGCTGAGCCACCCCAGCTCCCTCAGCTGCTCCAGCCCTTTCCTCAACCCCGTTCCCTTCTCCGGACGCGCTCCAGCCCCTCAACATTCCCCTTAAACTGGGCCCAGCACTCGAGGTGAGGCCTCCCCAGTGCCCAACCCGGGGG